GCTGCCAACTGTTAGGAACAAATTTTGGTTTTTAATTTAATAAATATGTTTTTATTTTGCTTCTCAAAAAGTGATTTGACAGATCATACTTAAAATTATTTTGAGGCTTCTGCATATATGTCTATCTGTCATCTAATGATTATGCTAGAAGAGCAGGGAATGTGATTGCAGTAGCTCTGAGATAGAAACCTCTTGATTACTCATCCACGGTATAAAAGCCCTGTGGAAAAAATGGCACCCAAGAGGTTGTATTTGTATGTTTCTGCAGGCAAAGTTTACAGACCTGTAAATTTAAATGTAGAATTTTTGTGGGCAGAATGCATTGACAAATATGCCTGATGGTAATACATCTCCTACTGATAGTACCAGAACAGGTCAATAATAATGCTTATATTGATAGCAGCAATGCAGGAGATGTTACTTGGTATTATAGCTAAAATCCATGTTATCCCCTTAATTATAATTACATTAATATTGACAGGCTGTTGACAATACTCACATTACTATTGATAGATTTCTGTCAATAACATGTTTCCAAATAAAATATATTCATTCATAATTTCTACAGTGCTCAATAACAGCACTAATATATACCAGAATAAATTCCTTTTTCCCTAGTGATACACTAATTTTTTTTGTATTGTACAAGTGAGATTGTTTATTTGTTTGGTTAAAAAAAGACAAAACAGACAAAATATAGGTTATTTAAGAAAGGAACATTTTTTGATTTTTTTTTTCTGCCAGGCAATTTTTTTTTTTCTATACAATATCTTTGACAGTAGAAAGTAAAGGGAGCACCTTAAAAGTACCAGTCTTTACTCTTATGCATTAAAGAGTATTTATGTAAGAGGTTCATCACACATTGTTTATTTTATATCTGAATGTTCATACCTGTCCTTTTCATTACTGGGTCTATGACTCTGAGTTTTTGTATTTTAAGCAACTTAGAACAAGAGAGTGAAAACAGTAAGGATTTGACAAATATAATTTAATAAAAAAATGTGGACAAAAACAAACATTCTCTATATTCTGTTTAGCTCAGCAAAATATAAAAGGCAAAAATAACATTTAAAAAAGTACAAGATAAATGTCTTAACATTTATAGGGTGTGTTTTTATCTAGTTTTACATTATTGTAGTTCTCATTTATTTCTACTGTAGTACTACTGTCTTCAAAAACAGTGTAAACTGAAAACCAACAAATTTCTGAAATTCCTAAAAGGACTTTGTATATAATTAATTTTTAAAGGGAGATTTCCTACCATGGCAAAATTGAGATTAAAATTTAGGGCTCTTCTCAAAGAAACTGTTGTTCTTATTCAGATCATTAGGACTTTTAAAGACATTTTCATAGGACAGTGCAGATTTTAAACTGTCCCTTTTAATATTTGCCTGTGGAAAGCAAATATCTTCCATTTATGTGCAATAAAGCCTTAATTCAGAAGAAAGCATAGTGGATAGCAGAACACAAAGCACACTGAAATGTACTTACACATTAAAATCAGAAGAAATCAGAAGTATATGGATATAATCACTGGGTAATTTGCAGGGTCCAGTTAACAGCCAAGCCATAGCCTATGACAAGCTTTAAATGTTCATTGGAAAGAACTTCAGAACAGAGTCCAGATTTATTGCTTGAATTTAGAACACTTAATTATTCATCAAAAAGAAAGCTTGTTGTTGTTTTTGACATAGCTATGTTACAAACATAATTTAAAAGATAGCATCATTATTGTTGTTTGGTATTCTTCCTTTTCCATGTAGTCTGTATAAACGTGACTAAAAGTTCAATCGATTTGATAGGTGGTATTCAGCAAGAGACATGAAACGTGACACCATTAAGCAGTATATATGGTGTTGATTGTGATTTTTTTAAAAAGGAGACTTGCTGGATTTGGCAAAATTTCAAAGGTTAACAAACAGTAGTTGTGCTGCTCAGAGTGTTGTCTCAAAAGGGGTTCCCATTTTCTATATACAAAGTTCCAGCGCATTCTGGCAGATGCAATTAAATTATTTCATCCAAATCCAGTTCTGTATAGGATGGTGGGCATGAAACAAAAAATAAAGTAGATTCTGCAGTGAGGCAATGGGAATGTCAAGCTCCAAGTCCCAGAGAAGATCTTTACAACATTTAGTGTACTCTCCTGTAAAAATCTTGAATAAATTAATTGCTAAAACAGGTAGGTTCAGGCATCATTTGGACAAGTTTCAAGAATTTCCAAGGATGGAGATTTCAGTCTTGGTAGACAAAATGTTCCAGCTTCTTTGGGTCCAACTGGAATTTCTCATGTAGTGACTTAACACACAGTTGCCTTTCTTTCTTTCATTGCATCTCACAGAAAACTTTGACTTAATCTTCTCTGCAACCTTTAGGAAGTAGAAGATTACTCATAGACCATTTCTTAGCTGCCTTATCCTTCAAGTTGGACACTCTGAGTTCCTTCAAGCTCTTCTCATATATCAGGACCTGGGGTTCCCTGATGGTATGAGTTACAGGATTCTTTCCAATTTGTTGACATTTCTTTTGTACTATTCATAGAAAAGAGCCAAAACTGGACTTAGTATCCCAGGTGTAGACTCACCAATGCCAAGTGGAGGGTAACATGCACATTCTTCAGTCTGCAGGCTATACACATTCTCATGTGCTGCAAGGATGCACTGGTGGCTTGTGTTCAGCTTGCTGCCTGTCAGAATCCCCACATCCTCTTTTTCAAAGCAGATATGCAGTCATACAGGCTCCCAGCCTATGTTTATTTCATGATCCATCGTAATACTGTGGATTTGATACATCTTCCTTTGTCTCCATAAAGTTCCTGATGATCCATTCTTCACTTGCTCAGGTTTCTTTAGATAATTTATCTATAATAGGGTGAAAAAAATCTGTAAATATTTAGTCTATCTTATTTATGAGACACCTACAACAGAAATTTCTCACAGCACCTGTGGTAATGAAAAACAGTTGGAAAAGATGGTTGAACTGATGTTGGAAAATAGTAGATGGATCAAGGAAGCTGTTGGATAAGATGTCCCTTTTGAGTAACTTCAGCATTTTTAAGGGAGGTTTTGTGTGTTGGGAGTTATGGGAAACTAGAACAAAGTGAAATGAGTAGAAGAGAAAGTGAAGAAGACATTAGACTTTTAAGGGTTACGAGTGAATAACCAGTGACATGTTAGAGCAGATGGTTATCAAAGGCTCTGGTTCCTAAAATTATAATGTAGTGCAAAGATGAGGGATAGGAGGGTGGATGGTAGTTGCTGCTGGATTTTTTTAAGTGGTGCAGCAAAATCCAGTAGGGGTTGAATCGACCCTTTGATCATAAATTAGCGGGAAGTTATTTGGATTATACTGGAAAATGTTTCCTGTGCTTTGGTTCCTGCTGCAGAAAATACTTAAGTGTGAGGGAGACAGCCTTGGGTGTACAGCCTTTGTATCCTGGTTTTTCCAGCTGGAAAAGTGGGTTCATTGCATGAACCCTGTAGCTGTTTGCCCAGAGGAGGTGGCCTTATACTACCTTCAGCCATGTTGTGCCTGCTAATAAGGAAGGAGGAGTTTAAAAAAAAAGTGAGTGGAGCTATTGTATGCTCTACCCATGTAGCTGTCTTAGTTAATTGGAAACTACTGTTACACACCCTTCACTAAGAACAAAATCATATTTCCTTGCAGTAATAACTAACTATAAATATGGAAAGCAGTAGGAAAGCCACAGATGATGTTTTTGTTTGTTTGAAGGATTTTATTTTTACTATTCTTGGCATCATTAGCAACCATTGCTGCCAAGATCCTCCACAGCATCTTTTACTCACAGTAATCTTGTATGGTTACAAGATATTTCTTTTATTTTATAAATAAGAATTTGAGGCACTATCTCCCATACTTTCTCCAGAAGTCTGTGAACTCCTTGCAGGTCTGTTGTGCAAAGAATCTGATTTAGAAAGTGGAATATGTTGCCTACTGTCTGAAAACACTTCTAAATCACTTTTGGGTTTTTTCTTTTGACAAATGGAAGCAAAAATAGGTTACCCCACAATTTTACATTGAGGTGTTACCTGTATTTTGCTTTAGCAATTTATTGCATTTACTTCTCAGTCAGACTTCCAGATGCAACAACATTTAAAAGAACCCATTTTAAAAAATACTTTTATTTTTCTCTATGATGCTTGATCAAGAATAGTATACATTTGTTAAGGTTGCTAATATACATTAATCATCTTGCATAGAAATGTTAATATGACAAGTAGCACAATCCCACATCTGTCAAAAATACTCCAGAAAACACATGCAAACTTCAGTGAAGTACTGTATAATAATTTATGTCTGAATGCTGAATATTTCTTTAATCTCATATGATTTTTCTCTAAACAACTCACTGCCTTTATTGAGAAAATTTTATTCATTCCCACCTTAGTTTTCATCCATATCTTTGTGTAATTCCTAAAACTGTCAGTATTTCCAAGATTTTGCTTTCAACTGTAGTAATTGAAGTGTTCATATGACAACAGTTCGTCTGCTTCACTGTTCTTTTCCAGATTTTTTGGTTAGTATGTTCATTTTCCTTATTTCTGCATAAAGCACCATATAGTGTTACAGTTCTTTCCGATATATTTTAAGGTTCAACTGAATATTAGTTATGCCCTGCAATATTTTTTAAAAATGTATGTGTACATTTAATAATATTTGTAGCTATATAAATCTGTGGATTTTTCTTAATAGCTAGATGATGTTGAACACTTTTTTATAACCAAATTTTGTGAGAAATAGTCAAGTATAATTTCTTCTGAAAACGAGATTTTAAACCAATTTGAATGTATAATAATTTTCTATTAATGTAAAGCATCCTGAAAGGGATTGTGGCATATTAATAACATATTTATAGAGCATTCTGAGAACTTTGTTTGTTGTTTCTTGCCTACTGCTGGTATATTACAAGTTTTTTATCTTTAATAAAAACAGGAATAGCAAATGTTCCATTATACTAAAACTTATTTGTGTTTTATTTCTAGAAAGATTTTTTGCGAAGAAATGGCCTCCAGCATTGGAAATGAAAAGAGTGTGAATCCTGTGCTCAGAATAAGTCAACTTGATGCTCTTGAACTAAACAAAGCACTGGAACAACTAGTGTGGTCCCAGTTTACCAGCTGTTTTCATGGATTTAAACCAGGGGTGTTGGCTCATTTTGAACCAGAAGTAAAAGCATTTTTATGTCTTATATTATGGAAATTCACTATCTATTCCAAGAATGCAACTGTGGGACAGGCTATTCTCAATATTCAGTACAAGAATAACTTAGCTCAGACAGAGAAATACCAACCTCTGAGCAAACACCAGAAGTTGTGGTATCTTATTTTCACTGTTGGTGGAAGATGGTTGGAAGAAAGATGTTATGATTTATTTAGCAATCGTCAACAGCAGTCTTTCGGCAGAATTAAGAGCTGTATTAGTTTTGGCTCTGGACTTATTAAGCTTTGTGGACTTTTAAATTTTCTGATTTTTCTTCAGAAAGGAACATTCGCAACACTTACAGAACGTATTCTAGGAATTAGGTCAGTTTTTTGCAAGCCACAAAGTGTTCGTCAGGTAGGATTTGAATACATGAACAGGGAGCTCTTATGGCATGGCTTTGCTGAGTTTTTGATATATCTGCTACCACTCGTTAATGTACAGAAACTGAAACTTAAAATTTCTTCTTGGTGCTTGCCTATCACAGGTCTTTCCAATAGTGAAAACACATTAGCGGCTCACTGCAGGGAATGTTCACTATGTGGGGAATGGCCTACCATGCCACATACCATAGGCTGTCCACATGTCTTTTGTTACTACTGTATTAAAAGTAATTTTTTATTTGATATGTATTTTACATGTCCTAAATGTGGCTCTGAGGTACACAGTCTTCAGCCACTGAAGTATAAAATTGAAATGGCAGAATTGCACATCTGATATGAGGTTGATTTAGTTTTATGCTGTACATGATATGTATTGAAGAGATTAATGGAAGAATTCAGAAATTGTTGAAAGCAGACTGCTTAAAGATGGTTTTGGAGACTCTGTAATTTATTGCAACATGTATTTTTACTGGTCTGAGGTTTTTATTGAGTAACAGTGCTGTAATGCCTTACCCTGCTTGCCAGGTATGGGGAAGGTAGTTGGATTTACTCTGGGTGGTGCATGGGAGAAACAACAACAATCTCAGGAGGTTCAATAAGAACTTTTACTTGCAAAGTTTAGAATATTGCAATTGAATAATGCACTTGGCAAACTCCGACTTAGCAATCTCTAACATATCCAGACCCAGTGCCATTACCAGCTTAGCTAGTAGATGGATTTATTTGGAATGTTGTTCTTTTTGTGCCTAAAGAATAATTTTAAATTTGAATTCTTTTAGTGTAACACTAAAAGAAACAAAGGTGTAAAGAAGGTGTAAACAAAACAGTGTACCTTCTAGACCTTCATGAGATGACAGCTAATTTGCCCAGGTAACCATGTCTCTGATTTTCAATTATGTATTTATTGCCTACCACCTCTTCCCTCAGAAGCTGAGGGATGAAACCCATCATACATTGGCATGTGGCAGCTGTTCAGGGTAATCTACGTTCTTCTGAGTCAGAGACACTGAAGAGAACTGTTTACTCACAAGATGCTGTCTGTAGGAGTTACCACTCAAGTTTTTTGGTGTGGTTAAACTGAGTGCCAAATCTTTAGAGTTCACTTCCACACAGAAAAAAATCAAACACAGTTATGTGCAGTTTAATATATTAAAATAGGTAATTTCCTGTGTTTTGCTTTCACTGTTTGCTTTCTTAGTTGGTTTTGCAATGTTTTAATTGTTCTAACACTTTGTCCGTTTACTTTCCAACCTGGTTTTATAAGATTATTTTCTTGTTAATTGCAATCTTTTTTTGGCAGAAAGTCTTACCCAGAAGAGTCTCATTAACAGAAAAATCCATTACATCCTCTTTTGAATCTTAAATTGTCAAAAACATATACAGTTAAATTGAATAAATAGCTTTATGGTGGCTCTGTTCTTGATTGGCAATCATCAATAGTCAGTCCCAAAAATAGCAGGCTAACAGCTGATTGAATATCTTTGATCTAGTTTTATGAAATGGTTTATTACATTCTTCATTCCACATTCTGATTAGAACAAGCCACTAGCCTGTTTGTTTGAAGATCTTAAATTCTATGTTTTGATCTTTAGAGTGACACACAGTGCTTTCATCTGATGTAATTAGATATAGGTAGCAGGTGGGCAGCCCAAAACTTCATTAATTCTGCTACTGTTCTGTGAGTCAACAGGGACTTCAGAGCACATGCTTCCAGATACTTTGCTGCAATATTATTTGCTGTCAAATGTGTATGTTAGCAGCCTGCCATATTTCTATTATTTGCTGTTGCAATTAGAACCAGCAGGTGTAAACCTGTTTTTATTAGAGTATGAAAACTGACAAGTCATTTGGAGAGCATCCTGAAGTTCCGTCATGATCCTGAAGGAATTTTGTATGAATTGTCCATCCATGATACTTAATAGCTTTTCCCAAAGAAACGTATTTGCAACCCTGACATCAAGGTGATCTAATGTCTTCAGAAACATTGTTAGCATTTTTGGTACTTTGGTCTTTAACTATACTTACTAATTAAGACTTGTATGCATCCAAAATCAAGTGTTTGTAGCTTACAATCGTAGCAGACCTTTGTTTGCTGTGGGCTCTTCATTTATTCTGAAGTCTCAGAGCAATATTTTACCAAAAGAGCATGGATTCGCTCTGTTGGCTTCTGCTAGGTGTCATGTCCTTCTTACGTTGGAGTTAGCTTCTTTCCTATTTAGAAATGTTTCATTTTCTGAATATGAAAGAATGCTATCTTCCTTTTTCATTCCACCTGCTTCTGTCCTGCTGTTTGATGTGCGTAAGCTGTATGAATATCCTGGGGTTTGTTTTGTCTCTTGCAGCTTCATTCAGGTGTAAAGTTTGTACTCTGTTTTTCATCCCTGCTACACTATAAATACAAAACCTGTTTCAAGCAGTTTAGTACTTGAACAGCTGTTTTCTGCTGGCTCTACTATATTGCACTTTACTGTTTTGTTTTTTTTCTGGAATTAGACTTTTAATACTTAACCTATGCTGACTTATTGCATAAGTCACTTAAGCAAAGTGTTGTTTTACTTCTGTAGCGTGTTCTTGTCACTGTGTTTGGTTTGTAGCCCATAACATTAACAAAGTTGTGGCATAAACAGGTTTTGTTATCCTAAGACCCTAGATATTAAGGTGGGGGTTTAGGTCTTTTCCATGCACATAAGCAGGTACCAAGCAACTCACAGAAGTGGGTGGTTTGGGAAAAGAATGGTTGTTTATGTCAGATACAGATTTTTTTTGTCTCCCATATGGTAAAACCTTTGCTCAGTAGTAGTTGCAGCTGAGATTAATGAGACCAGGGTTCCAGCTTGAATATTGAAAATCTGCTCGCTACCAGCTTATCTTTTTAGTACTTCAAAATCAATATTCAGCATTTTCCTGAAGCACTTTAAAATTAAATATGTACTTTTTTAATATTTAATTCTGTTTTGTTGTGTCTTGTGATCTATAAGCTGCAGAAGCTGCAGTCTTAGTTGAAGATATTACAGGAAAATACTGATAATTTTTAGATTAATCAAAGAATAATTAGTTGTACATATTAATTAACTTGATAATTTGTCCTCATAAGCATTATATTTTTCAGGTTTAAACTCTGCTTTAACAAAGGACTGCTACATCTGGTCCTACTTCCTGCAGTAGAGGGAATACAATTGTTTTGGAATGTTAATCTTTAAAAAAAAAAGGGGTTACTACTCAGCTACCATTAGAATATAATTGTGAGTAGTCATATGTGCATCAGTAAAAAGGATAAATGCTTAGAATTTAAGGGAGCTAAAGGACCAGAGTTTCTGTTCAGTCTTCGATAAGAGTTACAGCCTTCTGTTACCAGTTTTTCTTAGTGTTCTGTTGGCTTTGTGTGCTTCATGAACATTTCATTATCAAAAATCAAAAAATGAAGGTGTAAACTAATTACATTAGACTAATTACATTCATAAACATACTAGAAAACTTTTCATTTCTTCATTTGAATGAGAATTACGAGTTGCCACAAGGCGTGATTCAGGACGCATTCAGATTAAAGGAGTCAAAGAATGCTGATTTTTACTTCCACATACCATCACCATTCCATCTACTCTGTATGTTTTAAGGGAAGTCTTATATAAATAATTTTATAGAAGACTTACAAGCAGAAGTTTCTGTAAAAGAAAAGAGATGAAAAGTATTTTATTTCTGCCTTACCTGGAAATAGTTACTTTTTCTTAAGTGTGAGATATGATGGACAAAGATGATCTCAGCATTAGTAAAGAGACAATGTGAAGAAAGATGAAAGATAATGTATTTGCTAAATTTATTATAATGTTGTTACTTGAGAATATTAATGAAATTGTTATCTGGGATGTGTCATTCTTATGAAAACCAAGTTGGCAAATAAATGATACTTTTCTTAACAGGAGGTCCTGAAGTTTGCCTTTTTCTTAGGAGTTTTTTTGGAAGGGTGGTTATTTCTTACTCAGTGGGTGACTTCATACTGCCATTTATGAGACTAAAATGCAAAGTGAGAAACTAGTTTAGACTTCTCATTAAAACTTTTTTTCAGTTTTAGGTTTAATCAAATTATCTTCTTCACTTTTCTTTTGAGCAGATTAATCATAGCTGTTACACTTCACTGCGTGTTTGCTAGGAAGCTGTGTTGTCTTGTACTAAGAGAATATTGTGGCACAATGGCACAGGAAAGGGTCGTGCTTATTGCCATGACAGATAATAAAACTGATGGTCATTGGCTTTTAATACAGTATGGTAACCTGAGCTGCTGCAAGTTGTAGTGCATGCAACCAAAACAGCAGAATCAGTTTAAAAATGGTGCTTCAACCCCTTACCTATTCCCTGAAGGAACTCTTAGTAGAACTGGTTGAATAGATTACAGCTGCCTGCCTTCAACTTCCCAAGCATGCTGACAACATTAAAACTTTCACCTAAATTGTCACCCCCATCGTAAGTTTCTGCCATTACAGGGGACTCCACTTCCGAAGCAAGGAGCTGGCACAAGTGTGGCCAAATGCCATTCAAGGAGAGGACATTTGTGTGTAGAATCCCTCCCAGGCTGGCACAAGTGTAAAATCCTTAGCTCATACCTCTCTGATCATGGGTCTCCTAAGAGAACAAACTGGTGCAAAGTAAAATAAAGTTGACTGGTGTGCTACCATTCATCTCATACCTGTCTACTTTCAGGGACATATTTCAAGGATACTTCAGAGGAAAAAAGGTTGTCAGTCTCATAAATGCTCTTCATTAGGCTGTATTGGAAGACCTGTAATGGAAAACAAATCACAGCATGTTGGAGTAGCTCAGGAGAGGGGGGAAAACCTGACTCTTCTCTCTTCCAGTGTTTTCTGTATTCATTGCAATCTTTCTAAATTCTTGACTGCAGAACTGTCAACTTTCATTAATGTGACCAAAGTATCCCATCATGTTCCCTTGCTTTTACTTGCCAATTGCTGGTGTGCCATTTTGTTTAAAGCCCTTATCTAAATAGTCCTTCAGGAGACACTGTGCCAAGGAAATAACCCTAGATAACATCTCCAGGTTGTGTAATTGGCAGGGATACCTCTGATGCAGTAACTGTGTCAAGGATAATCCTTGGAGGTACGTTGCCTTAATGGAAAAAAGCTCACATCTTACAGGTTCAGTAGTTTTCAGGTTCCTGATTCCCTAACAAGATGGCCCACATACCCTCTGTAGTTAGTTCTCCTTTGTGGCCTGAAGACAGGGTATGTAAAGGATCAGGGTTTTCTGCCTAGAGGCAGGAATTCCCTGGGGATTGGCCTCTAGGAGAGTGCCTGTTGCAGCAGGCAAAGACAGTAAATTGCATCTGTGGCAGTACTGACTCTTCTACGAGAATATGTATTACCTTTGAAGACTTGCAAAGAGTTTTGAAACTTGTCCTGTTCTGTTGAGGTCTACTGCCTGTTACATGGTTACTCTGGATGAATTCTCTCCCATTGTACCCAATTTTGATACAAAATTTTTCATCATGGTTGTGTGGGTTGCAGTAAGGGACAACCGGCTTGGTATTTTGGATGTTGACACCCAGTTTGTCACATTCATCTTAATTTCAGATGCATTAAAGCACAACAGAAACTGTGAACATACTATGTGAGCCAATTATCTGGGTAGAGATGCATGACTTGTGACAAGGCATAAGAGGCAGTGTGCATAATTCAGATCCAGGGATAATTAAGCTTTTCTTAAAATGCTTTTGTGTCTTCACTTAAATAGGTTTCTCGCGAGAGATTACCATTGCCACAAAACAGTCTCTCTGTAATTAAAAAAAGCTTCTGTGACGTGTATGCAGTTTTTATTCATAACTTCTAACTCCAGCCTCTTTTGACTTAGGCTGCTACCGAAGATTGTGGATCCCATGGTTTGCTCCACCTAGCAAAATCACATGGTTCAAAGATAAAGAACAAGTAATGACCATTGCTTCAGGACACTTTTCATAGAGGCTGTAACATATCCATGACTGCTACACTACCAATAATAACAACCTATCCCTGATTTATTCTGTATTAAAATGATAAGAACAGGGCAAAACTGGAGGCAGGGGCTGGACATCAGAATCAGAGCTCTAGAGGAATGTGGCTACAGGGTAAGCAACAGGAGGATTTCAGAGGGCTTATTGTATGCAAAAACTGCACTTACTGCTGTTCATTCCATATACAGAGGACAAAACAGTCCCATGTGGTGTGTGATATTTCTTCTCCAAAAGCAATGCTGGAATATCCAGAGCATGCTGCAGATGCAAGCATGAGATGGGCAGTTAGCCAAGTGGCACAGCTTCTGTTTTATGTGTTGTGGAAAACTGGGTAACAGTTCAGTTGTGTTTGGCTGGTTGCCTCCAGGTTTAAGCAAACTCTGGCTATTGCAGAAGGTATAGATGGACCTGCAGTATGCTGTCTTATCTCGCATCCTTTCACAATCCCTGTGACTGATAGCAGCAACAGCAGTCACCCTACAACAGTTTCAAAGGTAGTAGAGTGTCTAGGGACAAAAAAGTGCAGGTTGCTCATTGCATCATTGCTTAGTGCCACAAAACCCCAACTTCATAAAAATATAAATTGATGCAAAAAAAACCCTGATGCATTATCCATACTTGCAGAACCAATATAGATATCAGGACATGGAGATTAGAAGTATGAAGAAAATGGCACTTGAAAGTTTTTCACATACACAGCAAAACATCTTTTGCTGCAGAAATGCAAAATGCATTAGTCATTAAGAATAGATATCTGCACATTTCCAGTCACCTACAGCTATTTCTGGAAATACATGGCAGGATCAAAAAAGAAATAACATTCAAGCTGTGAAATACTTTACTGAAATGTCTCAAGATTCTAAAAGAAATTAAAAGATTGTAGCAATCAAACCCAACTCTTGCTGAATGTAAGAATAAAACAGTTTGGTTAATTCTTAAAAGTAGCTCCACTAATTAATTTGCAGGCATTAAACACTCAAAAGATGCATATGATTGTGAGAAGTTGCTTTTCACAGGGAAATGGTCAGTTCTTACACCTAAGCTCTTACTTTAACTCATGCTTTAAAAGGGTTGTTGGGGGACATTCAAGGAAAAGCATTTAATTGATTTTCCATGATTATACAGAGACACTGCTTGCATTCTCAGGAACTGCTCGTGAACATGATTTAGATCTTTTTGAAGCAGAACATATACTTTTTGGTAAAAGTATTAATTTTATGGTATGTTAACAAAGGTAGCTCTTAATATTGTCCTTGTTTGTTTTTTTTTTTTTCCCCTCTTGTAAGACCTTATGGAATGGATGGAAATTCTAATTCTATTACAGAAGTAAATGCCCCTTTTTGGCAAGTAGATGATGATATTCTGTTAGTGACTGCCTTTTCGCTAATGTGGTGGTCTAAATTCTGAATTCTATTATTTTACATCTGCAGCAACTGAAAGTATATTTTTTATAAACAGCAAACTTCACCTCATAAAAATTCATTACATAAGGGCATAAACAAGTACTTTTCCTTCCAGTCATTGGCAGTAAGTGATTCATCAGTTTTCCACAGAAAACCAATTTCATTGCAGATGTTCTGCAGACTCCCTGAATTGTAGAATCCTATCATCCAATCCCAGCACAAGGAATGTAGGATTTTTTTTTTTTAAGTGTAGAAAAAAGACTGTGCTTAGTCTTTTTAATAGGATTGAATATCATTTGCTGTCTCATCAGTTTTGTGAAATAACCATAAAGTAATCAGCTTGCCATTCTTTCCTTCCCTGTACAGGCTATCAACTTACTCACAATGCTGATTTCATAGCAAGTGCATAAGTGAATAACTTGCAGGAGAGAAAAATCTTCCTTTGAGGTTAAACAAAATGTAACTGGGTTACATAGTTGTCTCTCCTTCTTTTCTTCATTCTTTCTCTTCTCCTTCGTTTCTTCCTTCTTCCTTCTTTCATTCTTTCCTTCTTATTTAATACTTCAAAATATAGAAATTTCCCATAGTAATCAGCCACTAATTTTCATTGTCTAATAAACCTGCCTTTTTTCTTCCTTTAAAAAAAAAAATAGTTTCTTTTTCTGAGAACCAGTAATTAACTGGTTAATTCAATTCTGTTTTTCACAATGAGCCAGAAATAAAGAATAGACCTAAAAACTACTTCTTGCAAGTATGTGCAATTTTGTTTAATTCTATTCTGTATAACATATAGAATCCACCCTAGTATATTTCCACTGCATTAACTTATGTAGATACAAAATTCAATTCTGATAGCTGAAGGAGGGAAGAAGACAAAGGAATATATTAGGATGAAAGTGAAAAGGTATGGAGAAAGTTTGAAGCAGAGAAACCAGAACAGTAGCTGGCAAGCAGCAGGAACCAGAAAGAGATTGTTTTTTCCAGTAGGAGGAATTTTTTTTATATATATATATCTCTAAGATGAGGTTGAATTTAGCCCTTAGAGAAGAAGCTGATAGTAGCAAAATGCACAGATTAAGTCAGCAGGTAAATGTTCTATACAGCTTTAAGTCTTGCTGTAAGTCTCCTATTTCCCATTTTGTTTTATCCATTGCTACTATTCTTAAAGTAGCATAGAGAGAACATTCCTCCAAACATGTGTAAATCAATAAAACCAGTAAGATCCAATCTAGAATCACAGAATCGAAGAATTGTTTAATTTGTAAAAGACCTCTAAGATCATCAAATCCAACCATTGCCCTACCACTGTCAGGTCCACCACCAATCCATGTCCCCAAGTACCACATTTATAAATTGTTTACATACCTCCAGGATGATGACTCAACCACTTCCCTGGGAAGCCTGTTCCAATGCTTGACAACCTTTTCCATAAAGAAGTTTTTCCTAATAGGCAATCTAATTCCGCCCAGTGCCACATGAGGCCAGTTCCTCTCATCCTATCACTTCTTATTCAGGCAA